TAACAGGAAAAAAAAAAGAAATACCTAAGCAAAAGTTTAGTTAGGTAGAGGATTTCTGGGGTCTCATTTTACGTAGATTTACCTTATTTATTTGAAAACTATAAAGTTCTAAGTTATGCTTCCCAGTGATTAGTTATAAAAATATTTACTTTTTATTCCCATTTAGATTCTTAGCGAGCATTGCTATGGCAATATTGCTATGGCAAATGATTCTTAGCGAGCATTGCTATGGCAAGTTATAATCAGAAAACGCTTTTTGATGGTCTAAAGTAAGGTTTGCAGCTGTTATCTTAGATTGTTGCTGTTATCTTAAATTGTTGCTGTTATCTTAGATTGTTTTACAATCCTAGAAAAAATGCTTTCCTTTAAGTTCTTGTATATTATATTGCTTGTTACAAAAGTACTAAATGCGGTGTTCAAAGCGTTTTCTCTCAACCTAAAACTATAACCAAATAAAAACGTTTTACTGAGTTGACTTTTAATGAATTTGAGGTTGCTTTTAAATCATTAAAACGAAATTAAGCTACTGGGTATGATGATATCACAAGCTACTGGGTATGATGATATCACAAGCTACTGGGTATGATGATATCACAAGCTACTGGGTATGATGATATTGAGCTACTGGGTATGATGATATTAAGCTACTGGGTACGATGATATTAAGCTACTGGGTATGATGATATTAAGCTACTGGGTATGATGATATTAAGCTACTGGGTATGATGATATTAACACAAATATTGTGATTGATTCCTACGATGTTACAAAAGATATTCTGAATAAAATCTTCAGAGCATCCATTGCACAAGGGTCTTTTCCAGATAAACTAAAAACGGCGAAAGTAACTCCGATCTTTTAGACAGGGGATTATACAAATATAATAAATTATCGCCCGATTTCAGTTCTTCCAGTTTTCAAAATTTTTAGAAAAAATAATCTACAACCGAATCTACTCTTACCGTGTTGAAAATAAAATTCTATACAAAAACTAATTTGGTTTCAAAAAAAATAATTCAACTAAGCATGCCATTCTTCAACTTACGCACAATATAACTGACTCTTTTAAAGACTCTTGTTTTACACTAGGAGTGTTTATTGATTTGTCAAAGGCATTTGATACCGTCAATCATCAAATCCTGTTAAAAAAACTAATATCATACTGTATTAAAGATAAAACCATATTATGGTTTGAAAGTTATCTTACTAACCGTAAAAAGTTTGTTTACAATAAAAATTATGTATCTCATCTATTAATGAATATAACATGTGGTGTTTCAGAAGGGTCCATACTTGGTCGTCTTATTTTTTTAATAAACATAAATGATCTCCATAAATTATCAAATTTAATAACAATAATATTTGTAGATGACACAAACTTGTTTTTGTCTCAAAAAGATATTATTATGCTTTTTACAAATATGATATATGAGTTAAAAAATATTTCTGTTTGGTTTAAACAAAATAGATTGTCACTAAATATAGAAAAAAGTAAATGGACACTTTTTTATCCCCCTTTAAAAAACCAGAAACTGCCCCACACCGTGCCAGACCTTTTAATTGATAATATATTAATAAAAAGAGAAAAAGTTACTAAGTTTCTCAGAGTTTTCTATTGATAAAAATCTGTTTTGGAGAAATCATATTAATAATACCTCCAATAAAAATGCGAAATGCATAGGAGTTTTCTATAAAGTAAGAAATATTAAGTAAACATCAGTTAACACAATTATATTAATCGTTTATACATTATCATTTAAGTTATGTGTATATTATATGTGGAAGCACTCATAGAAAAAAGCTAAAGTCTTTTTACCTTGATCAGAAACACAAAAATTGCGCAAATAAAAGTTAAAAATCATTTTTACATACAAAACAACTTTTTAAAGAAATGAATATTTTAAATGTATATCAACTGAATGTCTTTAATATTTTATGTTTTATGTTTAAATGTAAAGAAAATTTGTTGCCAAATGTATTACAAAATCTTTATTGTATGAAACCTAAAAATAAATATAATCTTCGAATTAATAACAATCTTATTGCCACTTTTTGGTGTAAAAGCAAACACCAGTTTTTTGTTTCTTACCGAGGTCCTTATCTCCGGATCAAAATAGTCTTACCAAATCTTAATTTTTCCACCCAACTGACTTTAGCTTCGTTCAAACAGAAACTTGAAAAAATTTTATTTTTAATTGAAAATAACTTGATTTATTTTTAATTGCTTTTTTTTTTGTTGCTGTTGTTTTATTTTGTATATTATTTGATTTAACATTTTATCTTGGCTTTTTAACATTTTATCTTGGTTTTTAGATATATTTGCATATAGGTGTATTATTATTATTTCACTACAGATATTTTATTTTTATTAAAAATTAACCATATATTGTAAAGGGCTTCATGACGAGATCCTCATAATTGTAAAATATATTTAGTTGTTGTAATATTAAACGGCAAATTATAACAAAAAAAGAAGTGATTTAGGCCATGTGACCCCAAAAAACACGACACGGGTAAGATCAAATTTAAAGTATAACAGCATTTATTCAAGAAGATAACGTAAACACAGAAAACCTTATGGCAGTTGGATGTGATGGAACAGCCGTGAAAATAGGAAAGATCAATAGTGCAATACGCCACCTTGGGGAAAAACTTGAGCCCCCATTGCAATGGTTTGTTTGCATGCTACATGCAAACAAAGTGCCATTACGACATCTCTTTGAACATCTTGATGGAGCCACCACAGGACCACGAGGTTTCTCTCGACCAAATAACATATTGTTGGCTAACTGTAGGAAGTTACACATGCAACGGTTATCAAAAATCGAATGTGATTTTCAGAGTGTGGTATTGCTGATCTATGTTCAGATCATCAGTATCTAAATGATATTTGTGCTGCTGTTAACAGTGGTCTCTGTCCACCATCTCTCAGGGAACCAGGAAAACTTGCAATGACTCGCTGGGTTACACTAACTAATAGAGCACTTAGATTGCATATAGCTACAACACATCCAGCTGATAATCTGAAAGTAGTGGCTAAATTCATAATTAAGTTTATGCACCAATGTGGTTTACGAATAAAACAAAACCTTTATGCAAGGGTGGTGCTCGAAATTTGTCGATATCAATTTATAAAGCACGCAATTTACCAGATTATCTTAAAGCCATTGTTGATCCAGTACTTCAATCTAATGGGTTCTTTGGTCACCCTTAGAGTATGCTGCTAAGTACAATAACTGACGACAGGAAGCATGTACAAGAGCAGGAACTCCGGCGAATTATGCGAGCTTGAGCAAACAAGCAAACAAGCAGCCAAAACGATCCAAAAAACGGAATCAGGGTGTTTCAGGTACCAACTATAAACACGGATGCTGAAAATTAAATTGAGCTAAATGACTGGCAATGAATCGCAGTGACAGAGCCACCTGTTACAAACTTTTTGTCTGATAATGAGATTGAGTCATTTTGTTAGCAGTAGAAAAACATCTGTTATTGAATTTCCTCGTTTTCTATGCCATTTTCAGGCAGTTGAAAGATGCGTAAAAAAATTTATCAAAGCTTTAAAGGCAGTTATTGGGCAGAAAACCCGAGATGGTTTCATCTGCGTGAGAAATGCTGCCAGATTAGTAATGCCTGTGTTCAACACAAAACAAGAATACTGCACAGGGTGAAAACTGATTTCAACATTATAGAGTAATATTTTGAAAAACTAAACCTTGTAAACAATGTTGTTTAACTAAATTTTTGTATTTGTTTATCATTTTTCATGCATTTATGGCCTGTGATTTTGAGAAATTCATTGAAAAAAATCCTATGTTTATCATTTATTTAAATTTTCAAAAGGTTAGAATAACTAAAATGCAAAACAAACATTGTTTTCAACACCTCAATTTAAATACATGACATTTAATACCAATTTTCAAAGGATTTCAAAGTTATTTCAATTATAACAGTTCTTCGAGTAATCGAGACTTATCATTTCCAATGAAATCTTTGAAAAATCAAAACTTTATCAATCCGTTGAATATTTTAATAATTTTTCTATTCATAAACTTGGACTTTAATGTACTTTCCAATAGTATAACACATTCTATGATAAGACATTTGGGAAAAATATCGACTTTTTATAAAAAATTAAAAATTTGCCAAAATTAAATTGCCCATAGAGGGCAGAAGACAATACCCGAGAAGTGAACTTTTTTTTTCTAAGAAACCTACTTAAAAGACTTATGGTAACTATTAAAATTTGTTTATAAATTTTTTTTTTCTCTACCGTAATATAGACCCACTACTAGCAAATGTATAATGTACACATCAGAAATTTCACATCGAAAAATAGTCACAAAAACGTCATCATTTAATGTTTAAAAGAAAAAAGAGGTATACCCGGGTCAGGTGTCTTAACTTTCTCAATTGTTTCATTTACTATTTATGTAAAGTTAAACTTTTAGTAAATTAAAAATCTTTTTTAAAAAATTTATTTTAATTATGTTATTTATAAAAACCCCTTGTATGTTTAGAATAAGTTAAAACAGTACCTGATTCAGAGGTCTTTTCTTCCTCAACTGTTTGATTTGCTATTTATATGAAAATTAAGTTTTAATAGTTATTCAATATCTTTTATAAAACTCATTATTGTTATTCATAAAAACATCATTGATTAATGTTTAGAAAAAATAAAAATAGATACCTGAGTGAGTTGTCCATACTTCTTCAGTTGCAGGATTTCCTATTTATATGAAATAAATTTTGATTAAATATACCAAAAATTTTTAATTTCTTTTTAACTGCGCTATTCAAAAATAGTGTCAATGATTGATGTTTAGAACAAATAAAAAGACATACCTGAGACCGGTGTCCATACTTCTTCAGTAAATGGATGTCTTTTTTATACAAAATAGATTTATATTAAATAAACCATAAATTTTTAAAACTTATGTTGATTGCGTTAGTCATAAAAGCGTCATTAATTAATGTTTAGAACAAATAAAAAGACATACCTGAGTGAGGTGACCATACTTCTTCAGTTACAGGATTTACTATTTATGAAATAAATTTGGATTAAATATGCCATAAAATTTTAAAATCTTATTAATTGCGTTAATCATAAAAGAGTCATTGATTAATGTTTAGAACAAATAAAAAGACATACCTGAGTCAGGTGTCCATACTTCGTCAGTTACTGGATTTCCTTTGTATACAAAATAAATTTGTATTTAATATACCATCAGTTTTTAAAACCTTATGTTAATTGCATTATTCATAGAAGCGTCATTGAATAATGTTTAGAACAAAAAAAAGGACATACCTGAGTCAGGTGTCCATACTTCGTCAGTCACTGGATTTCCTTTTAATACAAAATAAATTTTTAATGAAAATACAATCAATTTTTAACATCTTATGTTAATTGCATTATTCATAAAAGCGTCATTGATCTATATTTAGAACAAATAAATAGACATACCTGAGTGAGGTGACCATACTTCTTCAGTTACAGGATTTACTATTAATATGAAATAAATTTGGATTAAGTATACCATCGACTTTTAAAATCTTCTTTTATTGGATTATTCATTTAAGCGTCATTGATTAATGTTTAGAACAAATAAAATAAAATACCTTAGTCAGGTGTCCATATTTCGTCAGTTACTGGATTTCCTTTTTATACAAAATAAATTTGTAATAAAAATACGATCAATTTTTAACATCTTATGTAAATTGCATTATTCATAAAAGCGTCATTGATCTATGATTAGAACAAATAAATAGACATACCTGAGTGAGGTGACCATACTTCTTCAGTTAAAGGATTTACTATTATTATGAAATAAATTTGGATTAAGTATACCATCAACTTTTAAAATCTATTTTTATTGGATTATTCATAAAAACACCATTGGTTAATGTTTAGAACAAAAAGAAAACATACCTGAGTCAGGTGTCCATACTTCGTCAGTTACTGGAGTTCCTTTTTATACAAAATAAATTTGTAAAAAAAATATGATCAATTTTTAAAATCTATGTTAATTGCATTATTCATAAAAGCGTCATTGATTTATGTTTAGAACAAATAAAAAGACATACCTGAGTGAGGTGTCCATACTACTTCAGTTACAGGATTTACTATTTATATAAAATATATTTATAAAAAATATATTATAAACTTTTAAAATCTATGTTAATTGCATTATTTATAAAAATATCAATGAAAAAGGTTTAGAACAAATAAAAAGACATACCTGAGTAAGGTGTCCTTACTTCTTCAGTTACTGGATTTCCTAATTATATTGAATAAATTTGGATTAAATATACCATAAATTTTTTTAAATATATTTTAATTGCGTTATTCATAAAAGCGTCATTAATTAATGTTTAGAATAAATATAAAGACATACCTGAGTGAGGTGACCATACTTTTTCAGTTACTGGATTTCCTTTTTATACAAAATAAATTCGTATTAAATATACCATGAATTTTTAAAATCTTATGTTAATTGCATTATTCATAACAGCATCATTGAATAATGTTTAGACCCAATAAAAAGACATACCTGAGTGAGGTGACCATACTTCAGTTACTGGGTTTCCTTTTTATACAAAATAAATTGATAATAAATTTACCATCAATTTTTAAAACCTTAAGTTAATTGCGTTATTCATAAAAGTGTCATTGTTGTTTAGAACAAATAAAAAGACATACTTGAGTAAAGTGTCCTTACTTCTTCAGTTACTGGATTTCCTAATTATATTGAATAAATTTGGATTAAATATACCATAAATTATTTTAAATATATTTTAATTGCGTTATTCATAAAAGCGTCATTAATTAATGTTTAGAATAAATATAAAGACATACCTGAGTGAGGTGACCATACTTTTTCAGTTACTGGATTTCCTTTTTATACAAAATAAATTCGTATTAAATATACCATGAATTTTTAAAGTCTTATTATTCATAACAGCATTATTCATAACAGCATCATTGAATAATGTTTAGACCCAATAAAAAGACATACCTGAGTGAGGTGACCATACTTCAGTTACTGGGTTTCCTTTTTATACATAATAAATTTATAATAAACTTACCATCAATTTTTAAAACCTTAAGTTAATTGCGTTATTCATAAAAGTGTCATTGTTGTTTAGAACAAATAAAAAGACATACCAGAGTGAGGTGTCCATATTTCAGTTACTGGATTTCCTATTTATAAGAAATATTTTTATAAAAAATATACTATAAATTTTTAAAATCTATATTCATTGCATTTTTCATAAAAGCGTCATTATTTAATATTTAGAACAAATAAAAAAATATACCTGAGTAAGGTGTTCTCACTTTTTCAGTAACGTTATTTCCTTATTATATGAAATAAATTTGGATTAAATATACCATAAATTTTTAAATCTATGATAAATGCGTTATCCATAAAAGCGTCGTTATTTAATGTTTAGAACAAATAATAAGACATACTTGAGTAAGGTGTCCATAGTCTTATTATTTGATTTCCTATATATATGAAATATATTATTAATTAATATACCATAAATTTTTAAAATCTTAGGTTAATTGGGTTATTCATAAAAGCGCCATACTTTAATGTTTATATCAAATAAAAATGCATACTTGATTCCTGTGTTTTTATTTTCTCAACTGTTAATATAAATTTAAAAAATATTTTTACAGTTGAAGAACTTTAAATTTATTTAAACGTAAAAAAAAAAAAAATTTAAATTTTTTAATAATATATTATTTATAAAAACGCCATTGTATAATGTTTAAATTTAATTAAAACAATATGTAAGTCAAGTTTTTTACCTCTTTATTTGTTGGATTTACTATTTATATAAAAATAGTATTCATTTTATCCCTTTTATATCAAAATAATGTTATTTACAAAGACTCCATTGTTCAAAGTTTAAAAAAAAATGAAAGACATACCAAAGTCGGGTATCTTAACCTATTCAACTTTTTGGTTTACTATTTATATTAAGTTAATCTTGTAAAATAGATATCAAAATTGCTTAAGACAAGTTTTATGGTGTGTCAATTCAATATAACATTTTTCAATAAAACAATTTAGAATTATTTAAAATTTACTTTTAAAAAAAAGTTTTTTGAATTTTAATCAGGTTTTATTGTCTAATAATGTGCCAAAAAAGGGATTAGCATATTTTCAGCATTTTGCAGCTTAGTTGCTGCAAAATGCTGAAATAATGCTAAAAAGAACAAACTATTTTTTTTGTTAGTGGTGTGAATTAACAAAAGACACTTTAAATATTGTGAATTAAAATATCTTGAACATTTCCTTATATTCCATACCAGTTAGATTTTGAATTACCTTCCCAAGGCCACAGCAGTCGAGGAGGCTACTATAGTTGTGATTTCAACTAAAGTATTAGCAATACGAGGTGATGCTAGAGTGTCGCTGAGCATTAGTGGCTCAAATTGGATCCAAATTACTGTAAATTATTGCCATCATACATAATCTACATAGGAAAAAATTTTTATATAGACTAGATTAAGGGCCCTTATCTTTCTTTTTTTTTTTTTTTTTTATTTTATTTAGTTTTTTACCAGTATTATATCAAATTTTTTTTAAAAAATAACGTGCTATACCTCGTATAAAAATATGTTTTCTGCTATTTGGAAAAAAAAGTTTTTTAAACTTTACAATAGTCATTTATTTTAAAAGAAAAATCTAGAATTATAAAAATAATGTACCTTTTTGCTCTACATAAAGTTTTATATTTTTTATATTTTCAAAATGAAAATATAAAACATATAATATAGCTATATTAAAAATTAAATAACTTGAGCTATTTATTGTCTTTTTTAATAAAGCTCTAAGAGTCGAAAAGAACTATTCACCTTATATATCCATTTGGTTGTAATAGTCCACCTTAACTTCAAATTAAAGAAAAAACAAAGAGTAAAAATTAAAAACATAATATGAAAATTACATATTTTTTGAAAATACAGGTAGTAGGCATTATTTCTGTTTTATTTTGTAACATTTGATTAAAATTATAGAAGAGTTATCTTCGCACATAGTCTTAAAGCATTAAAATTAGATTAATTTTGAACCAAAAAATTATCTAGTGGAGAGTAAATTTAAAGTTTTGGACATGTATCGTTATTAAAAAAAGAAAAACAGCTCAAATACATTTGGAACATCTTTTAGTTGCTATTATTGATTTCAAAGTTGTTTTTTAAAACATAGTTTTGGCACTCAAAATGCTATTATAAGCATCTGTTTAAAGTAAAATTGTTTTTAAATAATGTTAATACAAATGACTATTACAAAAATTTAACTTAAAACTATTTTTATTTAAAAATTCAAAGTTTAATATTTTTTCAAACTTTTAGTTTGAAACATAATTTAGCTGATTGAACTTGTGTTAATAAAGTAATTGTTTTTTGGTAAAGCATTTATAATAAGAGCTGTTTTGGAAATTTGAAGTTTACTCTGTGTTGATGGATTACAAAATATAGAGAAGTGCTTTTGTCTATAAAAGAAAGTTTTTGTTCACAAAAGCAAAAGCTTTTTAAAACTACAGCAAAAATTTTGAATGGTAATTGGAAAATATTTATAGCCAACTTGATGAAACAGCATCAACAAAAACCTGTCTAAAGTGAAACTAAATATGCTGAAAATAGATTCCTTTGGATGAGAACTATCCTTTTTAACAAATGAATTTATTAAGAAATGGCATTTTAAAATCTAGCAAATATTTTTATACTTACATTTTTACACTTATCTTTTACAATATTTTTAAAACTTTTTTCAAATATATTTTTATTTTACAAATGCAATTTTGTCAGCAACAAAAAATCAAAAGTTAGTTATAAGTTTTCAAAGTGGAATACTTTACATTGATTCAATAATTTTGCTTTTAGTTGTTACAGCATTGTATTTTGTGTTGATTCAACATTTTATTATATATACATATATATATATATATATATATATATATATATATATATATATATATATATATATATATATATATATATATATATATATATATATATATAATATATATATATACATTTATACATTGAAATAATAATAATTTTTTTATTTAAATTAATTAAATCTTAAATATTTTATTTTAAAACAATGGTTATAGAGATTTATCCAATGTAAAAATTACTTGCTTTTATTCTTTTTTTCATTAAATTCTGCCCACTCTGGATTTTTGATTGATTTGTTTTTTCTATAAGGAAATATTATCAATATACTTTAGTTAATATTTTAATCATGCACAGTAGTAGTGTTTATAACTTTATACATTGAAAATAAAATTTTTCAAATTAGAAAATTACTTGTTTCTGTTTTTCCTTCTTTTTTTACCAATTGCTTCTTCTTTTCTATAAAAATATTGTTTTATTTTAATGTTTGTTATAAATATTACAAATCTTTTATTTTGTTAAAGTCTTATTTTCATATGAGTTACATTTCAGGTTGACTTTTTAGTGAAAGAAGAGATAGGCTATAATTTTTCCAAAGATAATAAGTCTAGCAAAAAATATTTTGCTAAACTAACTATGACTTAAAGATTTATGTTAGCTAAAAATTGCCACAGGTTATTTCATTTAAAAACTGAAATATAAAAATCAAAATGAAAAATTAAGTTTTATTTCTTTTAAATAAAATATTTTTTTTTCAATATTTATTTGTTTTAAATAGTTATAATAATTTAAAATTACTTTCAATCGAATTAAAGTTGATTGCAACTTTCTAATTTAACTAAATTTAAGTTAATTGCCAAATTAAAACTTGATATAGTTAAAATGAGCATAACTTTTTAATAATTAGAGGTTGTTTAACAAAGTTTTTAAAATTATAGATAGGTTTTTATTTTTTTTAGGAAAAATAAACAATGTATTATCTAAGTGCAAGAGAGTGCTAGATAAATTATAATATTTGGACAAATGTCTAGTGTTAAGTGGTGGTCTTAAAGAGGGGAGTATTATTCACTGTTTAAGTTAGATTTAAGTAAGTGTTATTGTGGTGTTCTGCAAGTTTGATTTAATTATTGTGCTTGGTATTTTTAGTGTTCTAAATTTTAAAGTTTTATTTGTCAATAAATGCCTTTATTTGTATGAATCTGTATTTTCGTAAATAATTTGATTTTCCTTATTTATTTTTGATGTTATTATGTTTATTGTGATTGTAGCAGGGCCGTACCGAAGAGGTCTTCCATGGAAGGGGATTATATGTATTTTTTTGCAAACATTTTACCAAAAAAAAAAATAATAATTAAAGGTCCTTAATATTTGTAACTTGCCAACTATAGTTCAAAACTTGCTAAATGTGCAAAATCAAATGCTTATACAACAGCTTTCGGGGGAGGGGGCGAGGGGTGGGACATGCCTGACACCCCCCTTCGGGACGGCCCTGGATCGTAGTCTTTCCTATTTATTTATCTTGTATTAACTGTTTTTCAGGTTCTAGCTTCCTTATTTTTCCTGTGTTTAACCTATTTTGTTTTTCTTTGTCTTGCTTATTCTTTTTTATCACTTTGTCGTCTTTCATTTTTTACGCCTTTATCGTACAATGTCATATCGTATTTTCTGCTGTTGTTATAGGTTGTTTGGTCGTATCATTATGTTTTAGACCGTTTTAGTGAAAATATTTGTTTTTCCCATAGTTTCAATTTTAAAATTGATACCTTTTTGGTATACATATTTGTTTTTCCCCCCGTTTATATTTAATAGTTCATATCACTTTTGTGGAAAAATTCCTTTTTTTCCTAGTTGATATTCCAAAAAAAAATTGGTTAAGAGGTGTGAAATTGAGTGCATAAAAAATTTTGGGAATTCATATTGCGGTGACTTCTGTATAGGTGGGCCTTGTGAAAATTATGTTGACTTTAGTTGTGGTTTAGGGGGTTATATTCTTATATGGCTTAGAGGGGCGGAGTTTAAATTTTTAAGATTGAGTTGCGGGGTCTTGAAAGACCCCGCAACTCAACTCAGTCTTTTATAAGATATGTTTTAGCATATATATTTATAAGATATATTAGCGTTTGCGGGTTGTTGCTATTTTTATAAGAACTATTTGTGGAGTGCAGTACAATTATAACAACACAGTTTAGCTCAGTGGTGCTGGGTTCGGGGCAGTGTGATGCTTGTTAGATAATCCAATAAGTTCCTTATATTATTTATAAAGAGACTTAGGTTTATCCAGAATATTATGTATATATATATATATATATATATATATATATATATATATATATATATATATATATATATATATATATATATAGGCCCGGCGGAAGGCGGGTACAACGGGTGATTTTCACCCAGGCGCCAATGCGACTAAGGCGCCAAATTTATGTTGAATATTTTTTTTTATGAAAATATATAAATTTATAGGAATAATTATATAAAAATTTGTATACTTATATAAAAATTAGTCTATAATATTTTATATAAAAACCATAATTACTCAAAAAAAAATTATTATTTTTCTTTAATTTATTTATTGTACAATTTTAAAAATGTTACAGCCAATTAAAAAAAATCATGTTTGAATTTTTCCGCTAACCAATCATTGACATTGTCTAGTAAAGTTGTTTTTACTTGGGGCGCAAAAACGAACCCATTCAAAAAAAGAAAAGAATCATTGGATCGAAATTAATTTTTAAAGAAAAGCAAACATTTCTTTAAAAATCGTTTGTGTTTTAAACAAGAAATTTTATAAAAGAGTTTTAAATTAAAAAAGCGTTTCTTTATAAATTAATATAGAAATTATAGCTTTAAAAGTAGTTTTTCTTTTTGCGTTAAATACGTTTTTGTTCTAAATTGTTTTAACGCTCTTATTTTAGGGTTTCAATAATTTTTTTATTATGATAAAAAGTTATCTAACTATACCTAATTCTGGAAATGAATGCAAATCAACTGAATCTACTAATTCATTTGAAACTATTCAAACAATTGAAAGATTGAATGAAACTGCGGCTACTTCAGAATACTTTGACGATATTAGCGATTGGCAGGAAAATTTAAACATTGATTTCATACAAGATGCTGTTATAAAAGGTCCTAACAGTTTCAAAGAAGGTTCTAATAACTATCCAAGAAATGTTGATAATTTGAGTTTTTCAAATCATTATTTTTACCGCGTCATGGATAATGGTGAAAAAAATCATAGAACGTGGTTAGTTTATTCACAAAAAGCAAACAAAGTTTTTTGTTTTTGTTGTAAACTTTTTGATAAAATTTTTGATAAAAACTTAATTAAAGAAGTAGAACATTGGAACAACGTAATGAGAAGATTAATTTCTCTAACTATTATCATGGCAAAGCAAAATATGCCTCTCAGAGGCTCTTGTGACAAAGTCTATCATGATAATAATGGAAACGTTTTAAAAATTTTAGAATTTTTGGCTGAATTTGATCCAGTTATAGAAAAACATTTGTTTAGAGCAACCGAGCGGTTTATATTCCATGCTGCAGTCACACATTAAATCTGGCAGTTGTTAATTCTGTGAGATGTTCACCTAAAATTGCTATGTTTTTCAATATAATTGATCAAGTTTACAATTTTTTTTCTGCTTCAACAAAAAGATGGTTAATTTTGCAATCAAAGTGTCCATCTTTAAAAGTTAAACCGTTAAGTGATACAAGATGGGAAAGCCACATCAATGCTGTAAAAACACTTCGATTTGAAATGCCAAAAATTTATGAAGCACTGCAAGATGCGGCTAAGACCGCTAATGAAACAATTGCAAAAATCACAGCAGAGTCTATTGCTTTAACAATAACAAGCTTCGATTTTTTGTGTTCGATCGTAATTTCGCATAAAGTTTTATTCGAAATTAATTTGACTAACAAACAACTTCAAGCAGCTTCAACGAATATTTCAGAGGCTTTAAAAGCAATGGAAAGAACGATTAATTTTTTTTAAGGAAATCTACAAACAGGAAAAGTTTGACTCTGTTGTGTGTATTGCACAAGAACTTGCTTCTTTTTTAAAGGTAGAAGAAAGTTTTGCATCAGAATCTGCTTCAAGAGTAAGAAAAAGAAAGAGATTTTTTGATGAGCCTGAACAAAACTTTGAAAAACAGTTATGTCCAAAAGAAAAGTATAAACAAGATGTTTTTAATAAAATTTTTGAATGTGCTACTATTGCAATAGTAGAGAGATTTAATGATTTTAATGCTGACATTGCACCTTTTAGCTTTTTATTTGATATTAAAAAGCTCTCAACAGTCAATCTAAAAATGGAAAAAAAGATATTTCTGGCGAGGAACTAAGTTTTGAATTAATGTCTCTTTCTTCTCATTTTACTGAAAATTTGGATCCTGAAAATGCTATAAAATATTTGTACGCAAATCGTTTGAATGAAATTTATGCAAATGTATCTATTGCATTGAGAATTCTTCTTACATTACCAATAACAGTAGCTAGCGCCAAGAGATCTTTTTCGAAATTTAAAATTATAAAAAATTATTTAAGATCGACAATGGGCCAGGACAGGTTGAACAACCTTGCAATGATTTCCATTAAAAATAAAATTGCCGCTGATTTAAATATTGAAGATATCCGGTTGAAGTTTTCGGAAAGGAAAGCTCAAAAAGTAATATTTTCAAAAAAAATTATTTTATCAAAAGAGTTGTATTAAATTAAGTCGAAAATTTAAACTTTGATTTGTAGGCGCCAAAATATTTTTTTCACCCACCTTCGGAATGTCTAGCGCCGGGCCTATATATATATATATATATATATATATATATATATATATATATATATATATATATATATATATATATATATATATATATATATATATATATATATATATATATATATATATATATATATATATATATATATATATATATATATATATATATATATATATATATATATATATATATATATTATATATATATATATATATATATATATATATATATATATATATATTATATATATATATATATATATATATATATATATATATATATATATATATATATATATATATATATATATATATTTATATATATATATATACATATATATATATATATATATATATATATATATATATATATATATATATATATATATATATATAACATACATACATATATTATCATCATCAAGTGCATCACTTTCGAATGATAATGAATGCATGCTACAAAACAAAAAGATTTTTAAAATTAAACATGTTTTTCCCCTCCAATAGACTCGATTTTGCTTTAAATACGTTTTTATGTTTATACAAATTTTTGAGTCAAGTTTTTTAACTTTATATTAGGAACTTATTTAATAACAAAAGTTTAATAAAAATTCGTAACGCATAATGACATTACACCAAAATCCAAGTGATGAGTTTTTTTATAACTCTTTAACTATATATTTAAATTTTCTAGTAACTACCAATTTAAATACTGAATGAATGCAGTTTTAATAGTGAAATTGTTTATAAAAAAAAAAATTTAGTTTTTGTAACCATTTTGAATTTATTGCACAAGCGCAAATAGTTCAATAGTAATTGTTAATTTCAGAAAATCACACAACTATGCCACGCTATGATTATGTTCTTTTGAAATTTTATATGCCACTAAATTGCCTTTCTATCTGCTACTTATTGAACCATTTTATGTTTTAATGAAAATGTTCTGCTTTACATTTTCAGTTTAAGTTATTAGACGAGACAGGTAAAACGGTAGCTAATTTATTGAACTTTATATCAAAATTTTAAATATAATAATAAATCTTATAATAAATCATCAATATTGAACTTAATCTTTAAACCTTTGATGTAAATCTGTAAATAATATTAGATTTTTGAAATATAATAAGATACAACAAGAAACATGCATATTTATGAGGGTACCATAGGGTACACATATGTATGTTTTTTTATGAACGTTTAAAAGATTATTAGTCTACAATTACAGTAATTTTTAATAAACAATACCCAGTTCATAAATGTATAAATATTACTTGTCTCCTTTTCTTTTTTTGATGTTTTAAAGTGTGCTGGTTCTTCTTTTTCTAAACAAACAAAATTTATATATTAACATGAAAAATAATAAATGTTCAAAAATTATTAATTAAAAAAAGTATACTAATTGATATATTGTAATTAATTATAATAATATCAATAATATTTTAAATGTTTTTAATAATTTTATCTTAATAATAATAATATAAAAATTTTTAATAATATATTGAATCTGAATTTATATTACGTCGTTTGCATTTAGTAATATTATACTGTTATAATATCTCCATTATATAATTATGAATTACACCTAACATTCTAAAATAAGTTAACAATGTTAAATAATGACAGTAAAATATCCTTTGTTTTTTTAAAAGTTTTATAAAAGAAATTATTTCAAAAATATCATCTAATTTCAATTTTTTCTGTCTAACTACTTAAAAAACAGAAATGTTAAAACAATAATTGGGCCAATTACCTCACACAATTATTAATGGTGAATTTTTGGCATTTATCATATAAAACATTGCTAACGTAAAGTTTTCTTGAAGTTTTTCATTTTATTGCTGCAAAACTTTACTGAAAACTGCCTAAGTA